AATACCATGCAAACTCTGGTAAACAAAATGGACCCAAGCTTTTTTCTTACATGCATCAAAATCTACATTTTATGTGTGACAAAAAATAGTTAATAATGTTCATACAAAATTGTTACAAAAGTCATACAAATTTCACACAAAGCAATATTGATGAATATAAAAAAAATAGTACTGACCCTCTTCAATAGGCGAGCAAAGAGAGCTGTACGCCATTGGGTTTCTCTGTAAATTAAAGTATTGTTTATCACTATTTATTGAAGTATTTAGTACATCCAATTAAAGTGTTCATCTTTTCCAATAGCATAGGAATATGGCAGTCAAGTCAATAGGTTTTTTTTGTGCTGTTGACTCTATATCGTCTTGAAGGTAGTACCTATAGTCGAACCGTCCGATCCAACACAATATTTTTACAGATCGCATAGTGAGCAGAGCTGGGAGTAACGACATAAAATAGTTACTTTACTTTAACGAGTCACTGAAAGTAACGCGTTACTTGGTAACTTAGTTACTTTTCAAATTTATTGATAAATAACTGTAACGACGTTACTTTCCTGAAGTAACTGCAGATCGTTATTTTATTAAAGTAACGAGTTAGGTACTATGAAAGTAGCGCGTTACTATGAAAATAACGCGTTACTAATTACTATGAACAATTTGTTTATCTTCCTTATAAATAATTGAAAATTGAGGAAAAGGTAAATCAAATGTGGGTAGTACAGAAAATTTGTTTTGAGAGCTCAAAATAATCGTTTTTGGGCGTGGCACGCGCCGCCTTTGCTCTAAAGACACTGCAGACGCTGGGCACTGGGACGCTTCAAAAAGCAGGTTTGTCCTAAACTAAGTTCACTATTTAGTCGCTTCATCCTTAATAGACCTTTTCAAAGTAGAATAATTCTGTTGCGCATGCGCAAAACATTGTTGCCAAGTGTCAGTTTCTATCATGCTATACAGGAAAGAATCATGAATAATTTCGATTTCATTAGAAGTGAGATTCAAATTCTTTAGTATTAATTAACCTTATATTCGATGCAGTCAAAGACTCAAGCTATTTATTGAAAAGATATATTGATGGTCATTTTGTAAAGTTTTTTTTTTAAACTTAACGCGCTTCAATTTGTACAAACTGGCAACATCGCACAATTTCACTGTCATTTCTTCGATCAGCTGATTATTGTTTTGCGGTCCATGTTACAAGTTTATGCATGGGAAAATATTGGAAAAACCTATTTAAAAATTTAGGCCAGTGCAGTTATGAAATTCACAATGTTGAAAATGCAAATTTTTTTATAAAGCTGCGACAATCAAAAATAAGTAGCCCTAGTACCCCTTATTAACATGCTAAAAGTCCCCATGCCTCCGACTGTTGCGTCACCAAAAAAAGTCGTCCGCCATCTTGAATTTCAGCACTGTTTGGGAAAAACCGCGAATAACTCGAAAACGGTACATTTTTTTGAAAAAAATGGGGACATGAAAATTGAAGAGAATTAAAAAATCTATCAGATACAATGAGAAGTAATTTTGTATCATAGCGATCTATCAACTTAGGAATTTTCAATTCTGTTAATTATTCGGTTTTGATAATTTAATTATTTAAGGCGCGAAAATCGGAGAACAAAACAAAATGTTTGATGATTGATGATTTAAATCAGTTGAGATATTATAAATACAAAACCCTTACATCTCGTCAAGTTCCTAGCAAGAATTTTGAGTTAGCTACTTTGCTTCCAATTTCAGACGGAGCTGATGAGAATCATTACTATAGGACTTACTTACAAATTCAATATTGGCTTGATAATAAAAAAAAAACAAAACATTGGGGTTGGGATGAAAAAAAAAGACATGTTGGTTCCAAAAACTATGTCAAAGGCAGTGGCACCTGATTTTGTTCTGAATATGATATATTGCAACTGCAAGTCAGGATGTAACAAATTATGCACATGTATAAAGTCGAATATTCCGTGTTCAATCCTATGTGGTAATTGAATTGGCATTTCTTGTGATAACAAACAAATTTCCGTAGATGAAGAGGAATTCGAATAAGATGGAATAAATCGTATCCCAGTTTTAGATTGTAGTCACTGTTGAATGGTAACAGAAAGGCCTTGGTTCACTCTCATGATGTTATTTGGTATTAGAAAGTTAATTGTCACTTATAATTAATAACACTAGAGCCTTTTTGCGTCAAAGTAAACTTAATATTTCAATGAGAATTTTGTTGCCTGGCAATTTGAGTTAAATTGCCTAAATACAACAAAACTTGAATTATAAAGTAAAGTTTCCTTTTCGACAAAAAAAAAGCTTGAGTGTAATTCGGTAAGACAATTTAATGGATTCCTACCTACGTAAATGACAAATTTTGCTGGTCATGTCAAGCTAGGTTCAGTTTTGTCGCTGGAAAAGTTAGGGCAAATTTTTTTTATATATAATATCACAAGAGAAAAAAATTTGTCGGCAAAATTTTCGAAAGGTATGAAAGTTTAATGGTTGGCAATTTCGCGAATGACATTTTTGACAAAATTTAACAAAAATGTCACGAGCGAAATTGCAGAAAAGCAACAAATTTGAATAAAACCTTGGGAACAATTTTGCCTACACAATTTTTTCTCGAGTGGTATTGGTCATGACTATTTCACGTAAAATTTTGAAAATAAATAGAATGCAAAAATATGAATAAGAACTTCAAATTAAAAATATCAGTTTGACAATGTCATTTTTTGACATTGTCTCTGACCTCCGAAATACCATGTTGTTGGTATTGTCCAGGTAGCAATATTGTCAGGTGAATACTGAATTTATTGTCAAATGTGATGCCACAAGAGGTTTCAGGATTACCGAATAATACTTTTACCTGTCACGGAACGCGTTACGCAGCAACACCACGACTCCGAAGGAGGAGTGGTGTTGGCTGATAACGCGTTGAGTATCAGGTAAAAGTATTAGGTAATCCTGAAACATCGAGTGGTATTCAGAAGGTTATACAACGAACTAAACTCCCATACTTTATTAATTTTCATTATTATTAATAGCAAATGAACAATATTGCCACCAAGCGCGATAATCCCAAAAGGCTTATCACTTCTTAAGCCTCTCGTGTCATATGGGAATAATCTACAGTGAGTTGTATAATCGCTGTAATAATGATGTTGAATAGTATTATTGTATTGAATCTGCGATTACTCATTATTAGTTCATACGAGGGTAGTTGAATTAAATTAGGTAATATATAGGTAACATTTTTACAGTGTTTTTTTATTTAAATTAATGTTAGAAGGTAATTTTATTTGTTTATTGGGATTGAAAAAACGCATTAACCGCATTATGGTCTGGTTCCCTTGATTTTGCTAATTTTCCAAAAATTCAAAAAATTCTAAATTGTTACTACGTTATGGTACGCATTGAGTTTCTTGATACCACATTCATTTTTTCATTCTATTCAATTTTCCTCTCTTGAGTTTTTTCGATAGAATGTACCGTTTTTGACTTATTCACGATTTTTACCGATAAGTGCCGAAATTCAAGATGGCGGATTGTTTTTTCGGGTCTAGAACACATTAGGTCCCTAAAAACGGACAATTTTTCTATGTTCAAATTTGCATTGGAGCAATTATTAGGACATAATGAAGAAAAAAAAAATATGGATGAGTTCATTTTTTTGATAAACAATATATTATTTAAATATACAGGGTGTCCTAAAAAGATACCGACAAACTTAACAGATTAATTATGGTTTACAATAATTGTTCAAAATGTTGACCATTTACTTCAATGCAAAGATTGCACCGTCGGTCGTCGGGTCATTAATAGACAACTACTAAGTTAATTAAGGAAACTAATCACAAATTAGGTAGGAATTTTTGAAATGTCAGTAAAAAACCAGTAAAAAATCAATAAAACCAGTAAAAAACCTCAAAAAACCCTTTCCATAAACATTAAATATTGTAAATATTTACCAAGGTGGTATGCTGATTTTGCCATAAAATAGAAATCTATTAAAGTAAACAAAATAATAATAATTGTAAAAAATCACTAGTCACTAATGCCTTATATCCTCTCGCTTCTCAACCTTTGACACAGATCAATAAATAATATCTATTCTTATCAGCTTAATATCGCTATACCTATCAAAGATGCACAATCAACAAAGAAAAAAATTAAATTAAAGAAATCATACCTTGATAAATATTCAAGGATCCATATTTTTTTTCTCACTAACCATCTTGAAATTGCTTTGTTTATCAGTAATAATCAAAATCATATTGAAAATCAAAGGGACCTAAAGTGATCTATAGAATTTTTAATACCTATTTAGAAGTACCAGTCGTTCTAGTGACAAAACGTACGTCGCATCTTGAACGCACAAATAAAATTAGGTTAGGAATTTCTTAGGTGTACATGAAATTGACGTATCAGAAATCGACGTTCGTTTTTGTTGGTAATTTTTTGTTTCATCTGATTCGTGATTGATAAATAAGAATGGGGATTCTAAATGGGTATTAAAAATACTATATCACCGTTTTTTCTAATGACGCAACAACCGGATGAATGGGTACTTTTGGTATAATCTACTTCTAAAGTAAAGAAGTTACAGTAATGCGTTACTTGCCAATAAGTAACGAAAATAAAGTTATCATTATTCGAAAGTAACTGTAAAGTAACGCGTAACTTTTTTCAAGTAACGATCCCAGCTCGGATAGTGAGTCTATTTGTCTACTCTTAGGCCGAAAATGTATTATTTTTGAACTCGGATAAGTGCACATATGATAAACGAAATATCGGTACCTAATGAAAAATATAGACACGATCAAATTCTGTAGATTGTTTTGCACATTATTATATTACGAAAATAAGCCAAAAAGCACTGTATAAAATATGGATTTTTTCAATATTAAATTTTGTACGGAAATTATTTCAGGAAAGTCTAAAATCTCACCTGAAAGTCGTGGTATGTTGTATCCTTAGTTTCATTTGGATCAGGAACCACATTTTCATTTTGAGCACCCCTACTTTGCCTGAGGGCCCGTTTCCGTTTCTGTTTCCGTTTCCTGGAATGAACGTGACCTGCGCTGTTTGGGCAGTGACATAGTATGATGTGTAACCTTGATTTTGGGAATCACTCTTGGCGTGCCTTCTATAATAAAAAGGAACAAATTATTCAGTTGTTAGCAAATTCATGGACTGAAAAAATTTCTATAAGAAAAACTGTATTATAGACAATATGCTGGCCCATGCCATATATTGTATCCCCTTGTAGCAACTTAAATATTATCTATGCAGAAACATCTACAATCAATAATTCTACTTACTCGTTTTCGAACCAACAGTCGCAGGTGTTGCCTTAGGCCTCTTTGCAGTATTCTCCGTAGTAGGCGTGGCAAATATCTTCTTTTTGGAAGCGGACGCAATCGTTTTTGGGGTAACTGTAGTACACTTACTGGTGGATGGTGGAAATAGGCTCATACAAGATTTACCTGGAGTGCGAAGAGTTGTTTCACAACGTTGCAATTTCCGAGCGCTCAGCTTAGTTTTACGGTCCTAAAAAAAATCGATTAGAAAATATTATTACAAAATAGAATCTATGTACGTTTTCACGGGACTCATGCAAATTTTGGATATATTCCTCGACAGTGCTACCAAAAGTCTTGAAAACTACACCGTTCTTAACCAAAAACGCTCCAGACAGATTCAACATTTGTTCTTCCAGTTGAGGTATTACTTTAGAGAGTTTATTGCGTTCTTTTTCTTCTTGCAGCAATTGACCACCTCTATTTTTAAATCTATTTACTCCGGTTGCATTTTCTTCAAATTGTATCATCTAAAAAAAAATATTTTTGAAAAAAAAAACACACACAAACAAAATAGGCAATTGTATCACCTTATCCCACACACAATTCCTGGTGCTTCTTTATTATATCCAAAAGTTTGCCGTTATCTTCGTAATATTTCTTCCATTTCTGAATTTCCAATTCATGCAGGTCAAGCAAATCCTCTGTATAAAAATCATCATAAAAATACCTAAAAGTCTTCTTGTCCGCATCTGAGCAATGACATGTTGTCCAAATAGTCTGGAGTTGGTCTCTTAATTTGTCCACAAATTTTTTTATGTTGGCTTTTCTAAGCTCCTCGCATCTTTTTACTTCAATTTTAACGCTTCCAAAGTATTTAATGAGTTTTCTGTATAATGACTTCTAAATTCATCTCTATCTATTAACTCGATATCCAACATTTTCCATATAGATAGATAGATAGATTCTTTATTCGATCATGTAAAAAAGACAAATACAATTCACAGTATACTGCGTATCACAAGTTTTCTACATTTTTACCTCTAGGGTGTTGATCATGTCATAAATAAATAAGATTATTACATATACTACTACATATAACAATAATAATTTCAAACATACAAACACAAAATATAAAATATAAAAATATAAATAGTCACAAAAATCTTTAAAATTTACATAATACAATAAGGAACACATAAATCAAATATTGCTCTTGCAATTTTCAGTTGTCCTGAGCCCTCGAGTGCCTGCACAGAGAGGACCAAGTGTGCGTCCCCATCTATGCCATTTGTCTGTGTTAGTTTGGTAATGATTGCTTGTGTGTTTTGATATTAAGAAACTTTACTTTACCAAGTTGTCAATTTGTGGATCAGTGAAAAACTCATCCAGACTGTAGTAAGCTTTTGAGTTTAGGAATGTTTTAATTTCTCTTTTGATATTCTGTGGCGGTTGCCTTCGAAATGAAATGGGAATAGCATTCCAGACCCTCAGAATGCTATGCTTAACGTTCTTTGCAATGTATGAGTACTGAGCGGTTTCTGTTTTTAAGTTTTCTTTAAACCTAGTATCATGGGGGTGGTCTGCTTTTAATTGGTCAAAAATATCTGGGTTTTCTGAAACAAATTTTATGCACTCTAAGATGTAGATATTAAAAATTGTTTGCACACTACTCTCAATAAAAAGATTTTTACAACTTTCCGTACTTTTTCTTTGATAAATTGTCCTTAAGCACCTTTTCTGAAGCTTCAGAATTCTTTGCGACTCCGAGACACTACCCCAAAAAATGACACCATATCTCACCCTTGATTGGATGTAAGCTTGGCAAGCTGTTAGCGCTGCCGAGCAGCCTGCTGAGTCTCTAAGAACCCTTAGGGCGTAACAGTATTTACTCATGCTTGTTGCAAGCTGGTCAATATGTGCACGCCAGTCCAGCCTCTCATCCAGCACCACTCCAAGAAAGGTAACATTTCCCTTTGTAGCAATTGTAGTGTCATTGTAGTCAATCATTATTTCTTCAGGTTTTAGATTGAAGTTTATAATTTGTGTTTTTGCCACATTAAGTTGAAGATTGTTGTTTGTAAACCAATTCTGAAGACCTTCAAGTGATTCCCGGACATTTGTGACACATTCGTTTTTGGTTTTGTTACAACAGAGCACAGAAGTATCATCGGCAAAGAGTACCACCACATTTTCTAGTACATTTGCAACATCATTTGCATATATTAAGTAAAGCAGTGGGCCCAGTATTGAGCCCTGGGGTACGCCCCTTTTTATGTAGGCAAAGTTCGATTTTTTTACCTCCCCTAGGCTATTTTCTGCCAAGACACCCTGTTTTCTATGATTTAAATATGACTCGAACAGTCTCAGAAGTGTGTCTCGTACTCCGATCCTCTCAAGCTTTCGACAGAGCAGGCCGTGGTCTACACTGTCGAAAGCCTTTGAGAGGTCCAGACAGACGGCCATGGTGACATTGTTCTTGTTTCGTGATTCCAAAATTCGATTTAGTGCTGTGTAGATAGCTCTTATAGTGGATCTTTTCCTTCGAAAACCATTCTGTTTTTCACTCAACAAGACATTTTCTTCTAAAAAGTTTAATAATCTTATATAAATTGATCTCTCAAAGATTTTACTAAAGTTGGATAACAAGGAAATTGGTCTGTAGTTTTTTAGATCAGTTAGAGTACCCTTTTTGTGGATTGGTTTTAGCAGTGCAATTTTAAGATTGGCAGGAAAGATGCCATTTTGCATCGATAGATTTATCAGGTATGTTAATGGCTCTGCAAGTGAATTTGCGCAAGCTTTTATAATGCTAACAGGGATCTCATCATATCCGGTAGATTTTTTATTTTTTAGATCTTTTATGATTTTCAAGGTTTCTAGAGCTGTCAAAGGTCGGAGTTCAAGATTCTTTTTACACACAGTGTCAGATTTATCAGCCTGGCTACTACTGCTCTCTGACATCACATCAGGGCATATGTTTACAAAAAAGTTATTCACATCATTCAGGAACTCAGTCTCATTTTCATATTCAAAGTGGTTTAGAATTGAGTCTTTTTTTATTGTTTTTGTGGCAGTTATTTTTTTAATTAAGCTCCAGGTTGCCTGCTGTTTGTTTTCAGCATTTTGTATAAAGTTTTTGTTGCTGAGCTTCTTTGCTTGTTTTATTACCTGTTTGAGTATATTTGAGTATTTTTTGTAGTGCTCCACAGTTGTTACCCCAATTCTAACATTTTGAAATAGTCTTCTTTTATTTTTACTAGATATCTTTATACCAGCTGTGATCCAATTGTGTGTTGGTTTGTTTCTTTGCTTCATTTTTTTTACTGGAAAAATTAGATTTACTTTCTGTAGAAATATGTGTTCAAATCGATTAAAGGCCCTGTCCACATCTGGCTCCCGATAGATGCTACCCCAGTCGCAGCGCTGTATTTCCTCACAGAATCTTTCAGTGTTATTTCTAGAAAAAACCCTAACCGCTTTAATTTTTTCTTTATTTTTGTTTATTTCAGAATTATCTAGTGGTAATCTTATTGATTGGGCATAATGATCACTCACAACAGTCTGGATGACCACACTGTTTTCATAATCACTAAAGTTTGGAAAAAAATGATCAATGCAAGATGTCTTTTCACTGTTTTTGTCCTTTGGTGGTCTTGTAATGTCAAATATGGTCTGTTCATAGTTATAAGAGTGTATAAGATCCAACAGTTTATTTTTGTCATTATTGTTACTCACTGTCGGTGACAAGTTGATGTTAAAATCTCCTGCCCACAAGACTTTGTAATTCAGGAAGCGCACCCTGACCTCTCTGCACAGCCTCTCGAAGACCTCTAGGAAGAGTTCACAACTCCCCTTACAGGACCTATAAATACAGAAAATTAGAATTTTATCAATTTTATTTATTAAAGTACAGAGTTCTATTTGCCCCTCTATACAAAATTCTTTGAAGTCATCCAATTCCATAAAGTTTTCCTCTCCATCTCCGACCAGGATGCATACACCACCATGTTGAATTTTAGAGCGTGAAAATGATGCTAGCAGGGTGTAGCCCTCAAGCTTGACAAATGCTTCTTCACCTGGTTGGAGCCATGTTTCTGATAGGCAGACAATTTGATGCTCAGTGTCCAGTGTTTTCAGGACTACTTCTAGTTCGAGTGTTTTATTTCGGATACTCTGAATATTCATGTGAAAAATATTCAGACCATTTCCTGTTGATTGATGTTTTAGTTTTTGTTTGCCCGTATTGGGCTCTGTCGGAGTCTCAGAAAAAAATGTACAAAGGTCACTTTGGGCCACATTTCTGGTGACATGACTTGCTCTTTGATGTGTGATGGGATTTCCAGCTTAAAACTGCTTTTTATTTTTTCAGTTTTTGTTTTCATTTTTGTTACTAGTATGGTTACCTTTGTGGTTTCTTCAATGTATTTTTTGACATCTTCTGGACTGGTGTTTGGTTCTAGACCGGATATAAACAGGCATGTTCCTCGTTGTGATGCTTGCAGAGGGCACTTCAGCTTGCTCCCAAGTATCGGACTGGGTCGCTGGGTTTCTTCTTGTCTGGGGATTTTGCTTGCCCTTTTCTCATAGATCTTCAATTCTTGTTCTTAAATGGGACACTTCTTCTTCGGTGGATAGTTTGAGCTCTTTCATACACTTGGCGAAAAACTCCAGCATTTTTAGATGCTGGTTACTCAACATCATATCATTTGAAGACAATACCTATTGAAAAAATATTTATCCAAGTTTATTAAAAAAAAAAAAAAATTACAAAAATCAAACCTCTCTTTCAAAGTCGCTATTGGGTTTGTATTTGATTTCATCAACGATTTCTGTGATTTCGTGTTTCAAATTTACGAATTTTTCCTCGCGTTCAAACTTTTCTGCTTCCAATTTATCAAACTGTGCTTGGGTAGGCAATGGGGTGTACTTCAAATCAATTTGTATTTTCCGGTCTAACTCTTTGCATAATTGTATTTGTTTTTTGTTAAGATTTTCCAGAGCTAGTTTCTTAGCATTAACGACAGCTTCATATCTAAATTAATTTAATAAAAAAAATATAATAAGTAAATTAATTTTTTTAACAACTCACTTATTCACGTATTTCAATAATTCTTGCTGGGCTTCGTAAAGGCTTAAACCTTCTTCCTTAATTTCAGGCAATGGTTGGTGGAGTTCGATGCACGCCTTTTCTAGTCGAGTGAAAAACTCTTGCATTTTATTGATGGTTGACGAATGAATTTGCGACATTTCGGTCACCATATCGCAAAAAATCTCATCGACCGACCTGAGATAGTCCTTATTCCACATAACGACATCTTCGCCTTTGTTACCGGCTACTTTTTTTACAATTTTACACCAGTTCAGAAAGCCTTTTTTGGTATGCTGCTCAACTTTCTCCCATAAGTTCTGCGCCCATGGCATATCCTCAATGCTAGAACAAAGAGATTGTATAGAGGATTTAAAAAAACTTTTAACAATTTTTAATATTAATTCTAAAGTCAGACTACCAGAGCCAGAACTGGAGATA